TCTGTCATGTAGCAATACTTAATCTATGTGTTTGGGTTTTCATCCATCAGACTTGCTGAAATACTTTAAATAATTAACCTGTTACACTGAGGCCCAAGGAGCCTCCAAAGTTTTCATCTGAGGCCTGAGATGAGTGATTCCCAGCACAGACTGCTCTATTTATTGTGAGATGCTCAATCTCTGTCTTTTGGCCAGCTGCTTTTTCTTGGGACAAAAGACAGATCCTAGGCACAGTATCCTTTTCACTTTATAGTGTCCATCAAAAAGAACAAATCAATGAAGTCAAACAGCAAACGACATTCGATTATTCTTTTTGTTTCTATTTTTTTATTATTATTATTTCCCTTGCTAGCAACCGAGTCTGTTGAACTGAGAAACATTTAGAGAGGTTGACCTAAGTCTCTAAACTCTGCACAAAGGATGTCAAACCACAGGCCTGGACATTCCCAAGGAAAGGGGCACCGAATGGCAGGATGAGGCAAGAGGCCACTTCCCCCCAGCCAAGTCTCATGACCCAACCACACAGTCATAAGAGGAGTGTGTCAAGTTGCTTTAGTAAACCAAGAGCTCTTAAAGAAACTCTTGGGGATTTATTTAGAGATAAGATTTTCCTTACTGCAGCAAAGTCAGAGGCAATACAGACCCAGGATGGTTTTCAGGCAATACAAGTGACCATGTCTGTTCAGGAAAACGCCCCTTATAGGAATCTTTGCGGAGAATTTACCCAGGGCTTCCCTGCTGCTTAATCTGTGTCTTCTCTGTCACCCGCTTTTGCTTAGGATGCCCACAGCTTTTGTTTTTCTGAAGTATAGGCCATACTGCTCCTTAAAACTGGAAGAGAGAGAGAGAGAAGAGAGAAGTCAAACTGATTTTAGAAGAGAGGCAAGGCTTTGCGGTTCTATAGAGGACCAGAGTTGTTACAGGCAGGGGTGTGGCTTCTAGACATCCGCAGGAACAGCTTACCTTAAAAACCACAGGACTCTGCGTGCTTTGAAGAACATTGAGAACAAAATTTAAAAAAAAATCAAGGCCGATAATAGATGAGACTAATAGAGTATTTTAAAATGAGTCATACCGGGTACCTAATCACTTACATAGGAGTGGACCAGAGAATCTCTTTGCATGTGTCCTGACCAGCTTGGAAATAATAAAATGCAAATATTTCAAGGAAGGGTGTAGCTTTCCTGATGTGTATTTAAAGTCCCCTTAAATCTTCTAAATTGATGCAGTTTGGTCTTCACCTGAGTATGAGACAGTATGAGAGAAGTAGGGGAGTTTTCTTTTT